GTGTGTGTGTGTGTGTGTGTGTGTGTCCTCTTAGTACATGAGTTAGGTTCCCATTGCCTCCTGAGATTCTTCTGTTCTCTGCTTCTTTCTATGTTTTAATTGTCAGATATTTCACCCCCCACCCCCCATAGACGTGGAACTGTTACCAACGAGCAGCCTCCAGGCACATGTTGGGAGTGCGGGGGAGGAGAGGGCTCTGGGCCGGAGGGGTGGGGTCACTTCCGGAGGAGGAGTTTTCCTTTCCGTCCCCTCCTCACCCCACAAACTCTGCCCAGTCCTTCCTGCTACAGAATGTGAGACTAACCCCCTTCCTTCTTTCTTCTATCTCCTTTCACACTGGGCATCGGAACTGGGGTGGAAAGTTGAACGGCTTTCACCCCCACTTCCCTTCCGAAGGGCCTGGGTCACTCCGTGGATGACACAGGCTGTGGGAAGGGTAGTTGGGAAAAGCTGTCCTCAGCTGAACCACTCTGGGTAAGAAAGTTCTCAAATTACACCCCGCTTTTGGCTTGGACCACTGTGGGCTGAGTGTCCCTGATGGTTGGAGACCAAAATTATCCTCCATTTTCCAAAATGACTCTCTGTTCCCAGTCCCACCTTTTTCCGTCAATTGCTGTATTAATAATTTGTTTTGGGCGAAACATTAAATGGCTCTTTCCTGATGACCTTCATGACTTAGATATTTAAGTGCAAGGTGACACTTGACATCTGCCCATTAGGCCTGTTCATTCTCCAAGGACAGAGCCTATCTCAGGCCTCCTCTCTTCATTAAATCTGGAATGGCACCAATCCCAGGAGACCCATTCATAGTGACTAAATAAGTGCCAGACCTGGTGCTACGAGCTCCGCGTGCGTCATCTCATCTAACGTGTCCAGCCACCCCATGAAGCAGGGCATTGTTCTTTTTCCATTGTACTGATGAGGAAACCGAGGCTCGAGAGGTTCAGTAGTCCAGGCTTGCTGGACGAGCATGTGGTGCCACCTCCAGTGTGTGGACACAGCCAGAGTGCAGCAGTGATTCTCAGTGACATCTGCTGCCTCAAACAGCATCGATGCTTATTGACTTCTGCTGGGGAGTGCTGGAGCAGGGAGGCAAGAAAGAGGCGCAGAAGCCCATTCTCGATGACATCACGCAGGCATTGTTGCTTTTACAGGGTGAGGAGGGACTAGGAAAAAGCTCTTAGCGAAGGAGAAGCATCCGCTTGGTGTTGGATGGGGGAGCCTGTAATGCACTCAGGCCCCGCGGGCGATGGAAGTGAGCACCGAGAATGCAAAGCGGTCATGATAATGCTGTCTTCTTCCTCTTTCCCCTCCCTTCCCTCTCTTGCAGGGGTTAACTCCTTCATGGTTTACATGGCCTATAAGGATTTGTATCAAGTGTCCAACACAGAGGTAACAACCCACTGCTCTGTGGTTTGGGGTATCTGGATGGGTTCCCTATTGCTGCCGATGACCTTGGCTCTTTCAACATGAGTCAGTGTGGGAGGCCGATGGCCGGAGTGCTTCTTGAAGCCCTTGCAGTCCACGCTACATTTTCAGTAAGGTAACGGGTAGGGTGCCCGTGGCAAGGCTGACAGGGAGCTAGAATTTCCACTGGCAGCAGCTTTCTCAGAACAAGAGGAAGGGCATGCCTCAGTCTCCATCTACCCGGCCATCCAAACCCGTGTGAGCTCAGCGAGCATGTGAGGTGTTCGTTCAGCCTTGCGGGATTAAAGAGGCCCTTTTGCTCTGTGGGGGTCATCATCCCAGCATGCCTCTGACTCTCTCTCTAAGAAATCCGTGAGATGTGGTTCTTTCAGACAACTCTCAAGTTTTCAGTGGAACTATGAGAAATCAATTCCCATAGCTCCTGGTTCGCAGGGCAAGGGAGGTCAGCCTGGAAAGGCTAAGACATAGGGGTTTCAGCTTTCGCGTTAGCTCCTGCCTGGCTGTAGTGGCTTTTGGGAGTGCTTGCTGAGAAGGATTCTGGGTTTGTATCTCAGCTCACTGGGAAGTAATTCCATACAAATGTGCGCCCAGGGCAGAGTAGAGGGGTCGAAAGCACTTTAGTGAGTATTCGCCCTGTCTGCCCAGGAGGCACAGTAGGCTTTTTATAGAGACAGTTTCCCAGCATGCCTTTGGACTAGCACTCCCCTTTGGTTGTGCATGTTTAAGTCTGTATTTCTGCCCTAGTCACTTATTTCCCCTGGTTTATCCCAGTCATTGTAGCTCTGGCTCTAGGAACAGCCCTTGTTCGCTGAAAACATTAGTGGCTTGGGAAGGTGACAAAGACTGATTTCTATTTCAGCTGTATGAGATCTTCACCTGTCTGGGAGAGCTGGGAGCCATTGCTCAAGTTCACGCCGAGAACGGCGATATCATTGCCCAGGTAACAGCGTGCCGCCCCCTGAAATGTGCTTTCTGCATGGGCTTCGGTCTGCATCCCATTTGGTTTCTCATTTCTTCACTGTTGCTTGAGCTCTCAGTATGTGCAAGGCATTGGCATAAGTACTCGCCTCAAAACCTGCCTCCAAGGACCCCACAGTCTAGGAGGAGGGAAAAGAGGATATGTGGACAAGTGAGGGACAAAGAAGCTGCTGGAAAACAGGGAGGGATCTGGTTGCTCTGGAAAATCAGAAACGGCTTCCTGGAAGAGGAGGCTTTCAAGTCAGGCCATTGGGAGAGCATTGCTGGTTCTCTTTTGAAAATGAGTCCAAGCTACGTGACACTCTCTGTCCTAAGAGAAACCCAAAGGCAGCATTTCTTAGAAGCCAGAAATTCGAGCCAGGACTATGGAACTCATGGTCTTAGATAATAAAGAATTTAGGTCTGGTGGGGATTAGATGTCCCACTGCTTTCCTAGAAATCATCCTGAGAAACCTGAGGAAAGTGAGGGCCCTGAGGCCCCAGCTGATCATTTGTAAGCAAGCAGAAAGCACTTCTCTCTCCATCTCCAGGCTGCTTAATGGGCTAGTTGCACAGATGTGTTGTAACCAGGGTTTTGTTTTTCTCAGGATTGGCCTCCGCTAGGTGGAGGCTGCCAGAAAAGAGTGTGAGCGCTCATAGTCCATTTGCTAACATTCATAACAAGAAACCATTATTCATTCCTTCAAAGAGCATTTCCTGAGCGCCTTGTGCCAGGCCCTAGGCGGTAGAGGTGAGCCAAGACAGATGCATTCCATAGCTCACAAGCGCTCGGGCTGTGCCTTCGTGTCCGAAGTCATCCAGCACTTGGTGAATGTGGTTGATTGGCAGGAGTGTGGCAACAACACTTAGGCGGCCCCTTGTGTCAGACCCGTGAGCTTCCAATAGCAGGTCCCATTTTGTGAGTGGTTACGGCCATGTGCCAGTCTCTGATAAATGCTCTAGGAGGTTCTCATTTACTCTTCCCCCAATCTTTTAAGGATGGCTGCCAACCGCCCCATTTTACAGATGAGAGCAATGAGGTTCAGCAGGATTAGGTCACAGGTGAGAGGATCACAGCCAATAACGGCGAGAACGAAAGCTTAGTTCCCTAAGGCGATGTGCCTCAGCGGGCATCTCACCCAGAGAAGGGGCATCCAGGCTCTCTCGCCACCATCCGGCTACAGGCCTCCTGGAGAGGCAGCGCCCAGGCGGTGCAGGCCTCCGGCTGGTCGAGCGCGGTCTCGCTAGTGGAGGAGGTGAGCTAAGTGTGGCGTTTCCTCTCCTTTTGACCAAGGAGGTCAATTAGTCAGCCCCCTGAGAGCCTTCTCCCACATCCCCCACATCCTCAGAGATAATGAAATCATTTTCCAAAGAGGGTCCAAATCCCTTGCTCCTGTGGGAGGCTTCCTGATGGTATTAGAGCTGTCACCCCTCCCCTGTCTCCATGTTTTCAGTGCAGCAGCTGGAGGCCCCAGCCCTCTGTCCGGATGCCCAGAAACCAAACTCCCTGCATTCTGGACTCTGTGGAGGCAAACGGGCTCGAACTCAAAGCCGCTTCTCCTTCGCACGGAAGTGTCTCTGGTTTCCCCACCCCCACCCTTCCCTACCTTCGGAAGATCTGTTCTCAGTCAGGAAAAGAATAAGGGCATTTTGGGGCTGGCCGAGTGGCTCAGTTGGTTAAGAGCTTGCTCAAGAGTGCAAGCCCTGAGCAACAGGGTCGCCGGTTCAATTCCCCAGCTGCCACTGAGCTGCCAACAGGTGGCAGGATGGCTCAGCTAAAAAATAAATAAATAAATAAATAAATAAAAGAATTAAGGGCATTTCTCCATTTGGATGAGTTTCTAGCATGTGCTTATTAAATTCAGTTTGAGCTGAAAGATTTTATCACGTTATCCAAATGGAGGCAGCTGCTGTTTCTTACTGTACTTTATGCCAAAGTGACTGAAGGGAAGAGGAAATCTTTTTCTGCGGGTCTCAAGAAGGGACATGTTTTAAAAGTTTCAAGCTGAAGCGACAGTCGGAGAGTACAGCACCCTTATCCATTTATCTCACAGATATTTATTGAGCCCCTACTATGTGTAAAACATCGAAGAAAGAAAATAAGAAGGCCAGGTTCCTTTCCTGATGGAGCAAACCAAAACTGTGCCATGACCCAAGCTGGAATGTAATTACATCAGCGATCAGTGTTTCCAACTGCCCACTGCTCCCCACCCATGTCAGGTGGCATTGATGGGTCTTTACAAGCCATTCTTAATCTTCCAGCTGTAGGGGCACCATGGCTCTTAGAACAGGACTTCCCAGAATGAGCAGTGCAGTGGAATTGCCTGTGGAGTTTAAAGAATGATTCCTAGGATTCTCCTAGGAGGTCAGGAGTAGAGTTCAGACAAGTGCATTATGAACAAGTTCCCCTGGTGATTTGGCTGTGCTTGGGAACCACTGCCCCAGCGAGCTTACCCTTGAGCATGTCGTATAAGACAGAAGATGCTTTAGGCGGAGACCTTAACCCTTGTGTGACTTCAGGAGTCAATTCAGAGTAGAACCTCACCATACTTTGGAAGGAATTTTATTTAGTCCACATTTTCGATAAGTGAAAACAGAATGGAAAATGGAGGTACTGTGCTGGAAAAAATCACCCTCTGACCTTCTGTAGATCTGGGGACAGGGACCATTTTACATCTCATGGTTGCTTATAGGATATGCATCTTTCTACTACTCACTTAAAATTTTATATTATTAGAAACAAAAAAAAAACAGCAATAAAAGTAGTCTTCTTTTCCAGGTGGAAGGAATCCCTTCCTTTCTAAACATCTTATAGTTCCAAAGTGAGACAAAGCATCGTTCAAGTCACTCTTACTCCCTGTCTTACATCACCAGTGTAGAGGTCCCTAGGAAGTGGCCTTTGTGCTTTGAGAGTGAATGCCAGCAACACTGCAGAGATGGTGGCTTAGAATTTGTACCAGTTCCAATTAACCCATGTAGCCAGAAAGCTGGCTAGAAGTCTGAGGAATGCAGCCACCAGCCAGGAGGGGCAGGTCGAATAGAATTTGACCCAAAGACTAACTGAGGTAATGCTGTTTTGAGGCATTATTTTGTCCAGTTAAATTCCAGTCCATTCATTGAAGTCCTAAGTTTAAAACCTAAAAAAGCCTGAGGGGCTTGTTAAAATGCAGATTCCTAGAATTTGACCTCATGTATTCTGATTTGGTATGCATGGATATGCCAGACATCTATATTTCTGCAGTTCAGTTAATTCTACATAGGCGGTTGTGTGGACCAGACTTTGGGACATGTAGCACTACACTGAAGTGAGGGGCCTCGCTGCCTTAATTTAAGTACCTAACTTGGAACCTAACATGAAGCAAATACTAAATAATTTTGTTGAATGAATGGGTTGTTTTTTTTTTTTTTAAGATTTTATTGGGGAATTGGGGAAGTGGAATAGACAAGTTGCTGTCCTTTTGTTCTTCAGTCTAGTTGTGGAGGATGTCACTTCCCTGGCCCATGTTGGTATTATCATTGTGCTCTTCCCGTGTGAGGCAGATTGGTCGCCAGCCATTGGACGGCCACTCATGGTGGCTCACGCTGGCTTCCAGCCACTCACGGCAGCCCACTGCAGCAGGGGCCACAGCCTACGCCATCACTGGTGACTCACGGCAGCCCAGCTCCAGGTCAAGCTGTTGTTCACCATCTTAGCTGTAGAGGGCGCAGCATCACTGGCCCTCATATGGGATCCAAACTGGGGCCCTGCTGCTCAGAGCTGGTGTCTCTTAACCAACTCTTAGCCAGCTCTTAACCAACACACCACTCGGCCTGCCTGAATGAATGGGTTTTAATATGCATGAATGAATTTTAAAAAACAAACAAAAACAAGTTAAGGGAGTATACTTTCAGAGGTGCCTGCATCTGAAAAAAGTCAAGAATAAATGATCTGGTGTGACTTTTAATGTGTAATGTAGAAAAAAACTGATACTCTTTAACAAAGAGACTGTCTTCCTTTCAATAAAAGCAAACCACTCTTCAATGTATTTTTTCTCCTTTTCGTTAAGACTCTACCCTATTTTGCAATTCCAGATATCGAGTGCACACATTTATTTAACATACATGTTTTATTCTTTTTCTCTTGAACACATCTTTCGATTAGAGTAGACCAGCATAATTTTTCCACATCTCAGTTGAGCTCACTTAAAAACTGTTTTCTGTTCTTTTCTCATTGTAGGAGCAGAGCCGGATGTTGGAAGTGGGCATCACTGGCCCAGAAGGTCATGTACTGAGCAGACCAGAGGAGGTACGTGGCAGGGTGATGGGGGCAGGGAGAAGGAGAGAAGTAGTAGAAGTGGAAGCTTTCTTCTTTACCAGCATCTTCCGCAAGACTGTCATTATCACAGTCAGAATCCCAGCGGCTTCCCTTATGGCCTGTCAATCAGTTTACATTTGGAGGGTTTGCGTTCAGACAACCTTTCCTAGGCACATGCACCCACAGTATATGAACAAACAGAAGGTGGTGGGACTCTGTGGATACCGGACAGCAATATCAGAACATTTCTTCCAAAGACCACTTCTGCCTGACCCACCTCCAGGGCCCCTGAGAAAATTAGAAACAATGGAAGGGAAGTGCGGACTTCAGGTCCCTTCTCTCTCTAATGATAACACCAGTTGGAGTGTTCTCTGCAGTTTTTCAGCAGGAGTGGTAACTAAGTCCTCTCTTAATCAGTGTGAATCTCAGAGACATGTCCACTTTTTCCCTTATTCCATATTACATTTTGAGTCCTGCTAACTATTGGCCATGAGGCGAAGAGGCTGAATGGGTTTTTCATAGGCATTATGTCTGTCAATTTGTAAGGTGATGATTGCATCTAGGTATGGAAGGAAGTTTCCCATGTATAAAATGAATACTGATTCGTGACTGTGCTTAGCAGCTGAAGAGCAAATGAAAAGTAACTAGAGATTGATTCCATGTATCTGGGATGTCAGCCACCTCAGCTGCTGGCATGGGGCACAGAGCTGGGAGCTGGCTGGCCATATGGCTGAGAGCATATTGGCATTGGGGGACCAGCCTGGGTCTGGTTCCTGGAGCCCATTCAAGGTCCTCATGACAGCAAGGTGAACCCTGTCCCTGGTGTGTCATTCCAAGCCCCACACTCTGCAACAGGTAGAAGCAGAGATCAGAGCTTGAAATTACTGCATTCCCATGGCCTGTCTCTTTCTGAATATGTTTTTAAAAATTGAAATGTAACACACGTAGAGAAAAGTGTTCCTGTCATGAAGGTACAATGAATTTTCAGAAACTGAATACACTTGTGTAACTAGCACCCAGTTGGAAAAATAGCATGTTATCAGCACCCCAGAAACTCCTTTGTCTAATGATATTTTTGTTACCAATTGAAATAGTTTATGATTTTTGTCTGTTGGTAGGAATGTAAGTTGGTGTAGCTACTATGGGAAACAGTAAGGAGGTTCCTCAAAAAATTATACATAGCACTATCAGCAATTCCACTCCTGGGTGTTTATTTGGAGAAAACAAAAACACTAACTTGAAAAGAAATCTGCACTCTCATGTTCATTGCTGCATTATTTATAATAGCCAGGATATGGAAACAACTTAAGTGCCCATCAATCATCCATAGAGGAATGGATGACAAAAATGTGGTACACACACACACACACACACACTGGAATATTATTCAGCCATAAAAAAAGAATGAAATTCTGCCATTTGTAATAACATGGATGGACCTTGAGGGCATTATGCTATGTGAAATAAGTTAGAGAAGAATCAATACCATAGGATCTCACTTAGGTGTGGAATCTAAAAAAACCAAAACGAAACAAAACAACCCAACCAAGCTCATAGATACAACGAACAGATTGGTGGTTGCCAGAGGCAGGGGGTAGGGAAATTGGATGAAAATTAAACTTTTGTCAAGACGTACAACTTTCTAGTTATAAAATAAATAATAAGTCATGGGGATGTAATGTACAGCCTAGTGACTGTAGTTAATAATATTGTATTTCATATTTGACAGTAGCTAAGAGGGTGGGTCTTAACAGTTCTAATCACAAGAAAAAAATTTGTGATTGTGTGGTAAGGGATGTTAACTAGATTTATAGTGGTGATCATTTCACCATAGGTAACAAATATTGAATCGTTATGCTGTACACCTGAAACTAATACAGGTATTAGTTATATGTCAGTGATACCTCAGTTGTATTATATGTCAGTGATACCTCAATTACAAAATTTTTGTGATGGGGCTACAGTCACCATATTCCAGAAAAAGCCTGTGTCCTTAATGCCAGGTCCCTTCTGTGGACTACTTGCTTTTACCCAGTGCTGTGCTAACTGCATTGTCCCAGTTGTCTTGGCTGCTGCTCTGGGTGGTTGGTGTTATTGGTAAAGAAGCTCAGAGTTCAGGCACGGGCCCATGATGTCTGGAGGATCGGAAAGTAGTTTGCACAGGGCAAGAAGACCAGGGTGACCAGCACTGTTTGGGACACTTCTTAAATGCTGGTCACTGTTGAGATGTGCTGGCAAGATAGATCCTTCAGCAGCAGCCAGGGAATTTCTGAGCAAAGTCTATTTTTGTTCCTTGGTTTGTTTGTTCAACCCTCCCCATCCCCCCTCCTCCACGCTCCCGTCTCCTTTTTAGTAGAAAGCCTCTCGGCTGCAGATCCCAACAACCCTGGAAGCCCTTTTAGTTGAAGTTGGAGAATGATGTAACCTTCCAAAGATAGTCCTGTTGTCAAGGTGCTGAGAAACCTGCAGTGCTGCCAGGGAATGACATCAAAGGGCCTGGGCTGAGGTCAGGGGGCAGCTGGAGTGGTTGGCGCAGTTGTGAAGAGGGAGGTCTGGGCATAGGAACAGCAAGCCCCTCTTTAATTCAAAGCACGCCCAGATACCATCTCCAGCGATGCTGTTCAGAGAGTAGAGCCCAAGGCCCAGAGATGCCACTCCAGCTGTCCGAGTGTTTCAGGAAGGAGACCCCATTCTTCTGTGGTCAGGGGCCTCCAGGGTCTTGTCCACATGGGACAGAGTACAGCTTGGGGGATGCCAGCTTTACCAGCCAGGTTCTTAGCGTCTGTCTGTTGAACCACACTCCCCATGGGCAGTTACTGGTTTGCATTATAGAAGCACGGAGCATCGGCAAGCTATTTTTGGTCTTTTTCAAAGTGTTGGGTGCACAGGCTAACCAGAAGGGCATATCTACCCCAAAAGAAACTGTTAAGGATTCAGTGGACAAACGCTTGTGTCTCTGCTTTGGGCTGAATTGGACTAACTGGGCAGTAACTGTGGGTCGTCACACAGGCTCTCGCAGACTGGTGCCAATAGCCACCCTTGAAGAAACACCGGCCTCATCCCAGCGGTAGGCTGATTGCCTTACAGGGATGAACTCTTCATCCTCACAAGAGCCATGTGTCAGGTCCTGTTAGTATCCCCACTTTGAAGACAAGGAAACTGAAGCTTTGGGAGGTTGTGTAAGGGACCTGAGGTCACCCAGCTTCTAAGGGGCAGAGCCAGAACTCAGACCCGGGCCATTTGAGAACGCCCAAGCTCTCAGGCCCTGCAGTGAAAACTCATTATTTCTTAATCCATCCAAGGGGCTGGTTAGCATCTTGGAAAACATGAATTCTCCATTAGGGTGGGACGGAGGAGATCCCTCACAAAAGCAGTCTTTGTGCCGAGAAGCGCCCGGGAATTGTTAGTCTAAGACGTGCCTGCCGGAATTAACCCATCACTGACCACCTGTGGCCTCAGGAAAGGAATGGAGGACACGTGATAGCTCATGGCCTTTACTGGTTATTGTATACATGCTGGTGTTGGCAATGTGTTAGAATAGGCCACGGCACGACTCCAGCTACGCTGATGCAGTGCTCACTTTCTCTGGGCTTTCCCTGGGCTGTTCTCCTCCGACCTGCATTTCACCGGGGAGTAGCGCAGGCGCTGAGCAGCCTGGTAAAGGGACGCGGCTGGGAAGTGTGAGACCTGAGGTTCCCGTCCAGCGTGTCCGTCTCGGGATCCTCTAGGCTTCTAACCTCTGCACTGCGTTCCCAGCTTCTGGAGGCAGGGGTGTGGCCGCGGTGAGAGGCTCCTGTTCCCGTGGACGCTTGGAGATTCTTTTTTTTTTTCTCTTTTGCAGCTGGAAGCTGAGGCTGTGTTCCGTGCCATCACCATCGCCAGCCAAACCAACTGCCCTCTCTATGTCACGAAGGTCATGAGCAAAAGTGCGGCCGATCTCATCTCACAAGCCAGGAAAAAAGGTGATTCGCGCTCCCAAGATCTTGGGGCCCTAATGTGCCGTGTGGTCCCTCCCCTCCCTGGAGGTCCTGTATACATGGTGCCCGCTTGGCTGATTGTCTTGCCCTGTGGAAAGCTACTCCCCCACATTAGCCCATTCGATTCTTCCCATATCTGCGTGGATAGCGGGAGCCTGGATTTCTCCCATTTGGCAGATGAGTAAACTGAGGCTCAGGGAGGGGAAGTGGTTTGCCTGAGAGGACCCAGCTTGAATCAGTTCTTTGGAGACTTGGTTCATGTTTCTGCCTCCCTTTGATCTTGTATTGTCAGTTCACATTGTCTGAGCTGTACAAATGGACACGTTAGTCAAGATTATATTGGGTGCAGAAGTCAAAGATCCAACTCAAACTGACTTAAACCAACAAAAGTAACGTATTGGCTGAAGGCTTTTCAGGTGTGGCCAGGTGGAGTGGTTTAAACAATGGGATTAGGGCTCTGTCACTTGTTCCTGCTTTGGGTCGGGGTGGCTTCAGTCTGAACAGTGACAAGAATAAAAGCCAAGAGGCACCTGTTGTCCTTCATACTGGGTGTGGGGGTGCGTGGGGGCGGGGGGCGCTAATGAGGAGGTAGAGGACATGTTTTCCAATAGCTCAAGCCCAAGTCCCCAGGAGGACTGTGATGGCCTTGGCTTGGGTCATGGGTGCATCCCTGAACCAGTATCTGCTCTGGCATAATTGATTGGCCAGGGCAAATGGCAGGGTGCAGGGGCAGGGTTACCCCCACAGGTAAGCACAGGCTATTTTAGAAAGGGGTTGAATGAGTCTCGAAAATGTGTCTAGCGGCGTGGCCTTCATGATCCGGGGCTCTGTCCCCACTGCCTTCTGCCTCCCTCCGCTGCTGTTAGCTTGGCTTCATATGCTCACCTTGTGCTAAGCTCAAGTTTACTGTCATTTTGAAGCTTGCTTTTCTGCTTTTCAGTCTTGTGCTTAATAGCAGACTAACGGGCTCACTTATAAACAGCGTGGGGTGGAGAAGCTGGAGGCACAGGGCTCCGTGTTTGCTTGTGGGACAATGATCACTAGGCCGGTTTCTGATCATTACTGCTCTGTACCCGTGGCTGTCCTGGTAGTGGAGAGACCCGTGATGGGTGACTCACCTACCAAACTCGAAACCAGCCCGTAAAACTCCAGATGTGAGTGACTGGGGTGGCTAAAACTAGCCCCAGCTGACTCTGATGGCTGAGTGTTCAGCTGCCTGGCCTTCTGGCAAAGGGGACCCTTCTCTTCTGGGAGGGGAATCTTCCTAATTATCTGGGCACTCTTTGTCACTGGCAGACTCTGGGGCACCTCCTGCCTTGCCCTGCTCACCACAGTGAGCCTGCAGTTTTGTCTCTCAGGTTTTAAATGTCTCAACGTGACATGCACGGTTGATCCACTGGGTATGAGCCATCAGACGAGAACCAGGAAAGCAGCCCAATGTTCCTAACCCATTCTTAGAGAAAAGGAGAGAGAGAGAGAAAAAAACAACAACAAAGAAAAAGAAAAGAATCTAGGGAACAGCCCCACACGTCTTGCCATGATCACCTACTCTACTCACCCTCTCAGACCTTCTGCTGATGGCTTCATCCTGCCTGGGACCCATTCTCAGGATGACCTGGGGGTGTCAGGACAGAGCGTTTCAATTATATGCTGAGTCTCCCTTTAAACTTCATGTAGGAACATTCCTCACCCTTAACCTCCTGGCTCATGATTTGCTGGCAAAGAGAGCTAGTACAGCTGTGTCCCCAGGGTGGAAGGGCAGCATTATTTCTGTGATGAAAAGCTGGCTGTTGAGATCGAAGCCAGTAAACATCTCACGAGCTGTCATTCTCAGGGACAGAGCAGGAAGACAGAGGGTAGCAGGGTTCGATCTTCCTTCCTGCCCAGATTACTCTGTAAGGCTCAGTGAGTTTAATCACCAAGCGCTCTTTAGCAACTAAGCATGGCTGTTCAGAATTAATATTAGGCATCTACAATGTAACAAGGACCAACTGTATGTCCTGCACTGCGATAGAGACAGGCAGACCTCAGAGATTTGACGGCTTTGGTTCCAGACCAC